GCTGTAGGAACCATGTATTATGTGCGTAGTCATCCCTTGTACTTTCTTTTGCAGATGAACCTTATGAAGGGGGATATCTCACATCTTCTTGATTTAATATGGTCATGGATCGCGCCCTTAGAAGATGATCAAAGCAATTTTAGGTAAACAATATTTTTCTATATAGTTTCACTTGTATTAAATAATTTGTGATATAGTTTTCCGCTAGGATTAATTTCATTTGAATTATACCTTCTGCATATTTGCTGTTGTTCCTTGGTTATTGCAAAGAAGACGGATAACTATACATTTACTTATTTTTGACTCAATTTGTTATGCATCTTGCAGGCCCCATGGCGATCCTCATATGATAAAGTTCGGTGCTCATGTGGTGCTTGTTCTTAGATATATGCTTGCTGATGAAATCAAGGACAGGGAGAAGCTCAGTAATGTTGGCGATCTTATTCTTCATATGTGAGTTACTTTGAGTTGGTTCCACGCCGTTTTTGGAATTTAAATACAATTTTACATCTACATTCATATTACGTTCAGTGTGCTTTCTAGTAATCTGTGAAATGCTGCCAGGTACTCGATGTTCTTATTTTCAAAACAACATGAAGAACTAGTAGGAATATATGCATCTCAGCTTGCTGGTCACCGTTGCATTGAACTTTTTGTACACATGATGGAGCTAAGAATGCATAGCAGGTAATTTCTAATTATCAGCCGTTGGATGATAAATATGGGAAGAGATTCGTTTATTTTGCATTTTGTCATCCTCTCAACTAAACATTTATGTTTGCGGACAAGCACTCGTTGTTTATACATGCATGGCATAATGCAAATTCATTGACATTTGTTTCCGTCTCCCCTGAAAACTAGCGTACATGTGAAGTACAAAATCTTCCTCTCCGCTATGGAATACTTGCCATTCTCTCATGTGGATGACTCACAAGGAAATTTTGAGGAAATAGTTGACAGGTATTCAGAGATTTTTTTTCCTGGTTTATCATATTTTTTCCTGATACATTTTACTCTACTAAACTCAGAAAATGCAATTTTATGGAACATTCACAGGGTTTTGTCAAGATCTCGGGAAATCAAACTTGCAAAATATGATCCCTCAGTTGATGTTGCAGAGCAGCATCGTCAACAGAGTCTTCAAAAAGCCATAGCCATCCAGTGGCTCTGTTTTACACCTCCATCTACTATAAAGGATGTCAAGGATGTCACTTCCAAATTACTCTTGCGATCTTTGATGCACAGGTACGCTCAATACACACTGACACATGTAGGCTAATTCGCAACTCAGTTATCCTTAATGTAGAACTAGTTGTTTTTAATATGTAAAGTGTCCGTCTTCAATTCCGTTTACATTCACCTTTGCCCCTGTTTCATGGTATTATTCCTCTTCTCTTCCTACAGCAACATACTTTTCCGAGAGTTCGCTTTAATTGCCATGTGGAGGGTGCCTGCCACTCCTGTGGGTGCACACACACTTCTTAGTTTCCTTGCTGAACCTCTGAAGCAACTCTCAGAAAATCCAGATACCCTCGTGGACTATGTTTCCGAGAATTTGCAAGAGTTCCAAGACTGGGTATGCTTCACTGCACTTTTTCTTTTAGTTATTCCGTGGATTTAAAAGTTAAGCGTCTAACTATGTATCTCTTCGTTTTTAAATAGAATGAATATTATTCCTGTGACGCAAAATATCGCAACTGGCTCAAATTCCAAGTAGAGAATGCTGAAGTCACTGATTTGTCAGAAGAGGAAAATCAGAAAGCTATAGTAGCAGCTACAGAGACTTTGGATTCTTCTTTGCTACTGCTCCTCAGTAAGTGGCATTGTACATTATAATCTATGGTTAACTTGTATGAAAGAAGAATAATTTTTACATTTGTTGGATATGCTGTTTAATGTGATAGTTTTGAACCTCATTGCATAGGGAAAGACAATCCCTGGTTGACATTTCTCGAAGACAATGTATTCGAATCAGAAGAATATACGTTCCTTGAGTTGCATGCAACTGCAATGCTCTGTTTGCCTTCTGGTGAATGTTTGCGCCCAGATGCCACTATTTGTGCGGCATTGATGAGTGCCCTTTACGCCTCTGTCACTGAGGAAGTTGTTTTAGACCGTCAGCTAATGGTACTCCCTTCATCCAATCTTCTTATTGTATCTGTTTTTTTACCCGTTATCCTTGCTTTTGCCTCACCCAGGCCTATATAGTATGCATATTCCCTGGACTAGAGTATTTGTCTTAAATAGTTATGCAATAGAAATGGGTGTTAAGATGTGACACAATCTAGAAAGTAGTCTGGTACGTATTACTTACATTGATCTTTGCTGCAGGTAAATGTATCCATTTCATCAAGGGACAGCTACTGCATCGAGGTTGTGCTCCGGTGTTTAGCAACTGAGGGTGATGGACTTGGGCTACATAATGCCAATGACGGAGGTCTTTTAAGTGCAGTTGCGGCAGCTGGATTTAAAGGTTGGGATGTCTACATAACGTATCTCTCCTTAACTGTATTTTTACCTCCTTTTCTCCATATATATATGGAGATGTTTCATTCCAGATGATATCTCACCAACGTCAATTAAACAAGCAAAATAAATAAATTTGCCTGCAGGTGAGCTTACCCGGTTCCAGGCAGGTGTTACAATGGATATATCCCGCCTAGACGCTTGGTATTCAAGCAAAGAAGGCTCGCTTGAAACACCTGCAACTTATATTGTCCGCGGTCTCTGTAGAAGATGCTGTCTACCAGAGCTCGTTCTTCGATCTATGCAGGTAAGACCTCTTATTTGCAACTAGCTTCTTCCATATGTAACTGCGGACTTATTAAAAAAAAGTGTCTGATAATCTTCTTTGAAGGGAATATAAAAGTCTTTGATCTCTGACATTAGTGAGAGAGAAGGCTGAAACATAAACCTACTTGTATATTCCTGGTTTGATGACTTCGCCCTCGTTAAACTACTTGCTTGCAGGTGTCTGTTTTTCTAATGGAGTCGGGAAATCCACCTGAAGATCACGATGAACTGATTGAGCTCGTGGCTTCTGATGAAACTGGTTTTCTCTCTTTATTCAGTCAGCTACAGCTACAGGTTAGTAATAGTTAATGCGTTACTCTCTGAAGAACAATACCAAAGACTCGCCATCCTTTATTTACTCTTCCTTTTGCAAATTAGTTATACTTAGTAAGTGAGAACCATCTAAACCTATTTGGATGTAATACATATGCAGGAGTTTATGATGTTTGAGAGAGAGTATCGTCTGTCCCAGTTGGAGCTCCAGGAGGAACTTTCATCATCTTGAGTGCCTTGCCTTAAAATTCAGAAACAACTTCTTCCTCTCTAAGTGGCTAGAGACGGCTTATTTTGGTCGTGTAAATCAAGCTGTAGCTCATTTTCTTTCCAGACCAGGGATTTTACTTGTCAGACTGATTTATACAATAAGATCATTTTGTTGAGAGCTGATAGATCAAAGTTCCCTTTATTACCATTTATTTATCAAAGAGTTGATCAGCTTTCGGAAAACCGTTCTCTCTCATAGGCTTTTTGCACAACAGTTTGATAAGCAACAAAATCAGTGTTCACGCATAGTAATCACTTTCCTTGACAGTTGTTTAACTGTCTGATAAAGTTTCTGAGACCAGGTCATTGGGATCAAAGCATAGAGTGAAGTGACCTCTCAGGCTCTGTCTTAGCATGGTTTCTGGTTATGTCAGCAATGGTGGGACAACCAGGAAGTGCCATAGTTAACTCAAACTCTTTCTTCAACATCTCGATCCCTTCTTTAACTCCATCTTCACCCTTAGCTGCAAGTGCATAAGCTAATGGCCTCCCTATCTGCATCATCCAACCAAAGTGTCATTACATCAAACCTAGAGAGTACCCTGAAAAATGTATGCTAAATCCCAACCCTTAACATTCAAAGCTTACAAGAACAGTTTATGCTCCGAGTGCCAGCGCTTTGAAAACATATGTTCCTCGTCTTACTCCTCCATCTACACTAGCTCCAACAGCGTTAAGAGCTGACATATACCATCAAACAAAGTTTTTTTTTCTATATGGCTTGGAGTTTCTATATAGTATGGTACATGCTGTATCTTAGAGTACGAGACATGAACTTTACCATCTTCACGTGTGAGTATTCCTTTATCAGTATTGGCAACTTTGTAATAGTTCTTAGCCATTCGATGTCCTAATAATTTTGCAGTGAAAACATCACAAGAAATGCCCTCACATTTCCTTGGGAAGTTTGTGTTTAATATTAAAGGACACAAATAAGACTTATCAAACAAGATTATACATTCCAACCAAACGAAGCATCAAGTGCCGTGGAGGACAAGGTTTCAAGTCCCGAGCCTTGAATCTGAGAGAGGTTAAAATCTTGTCAAAAACTAGTAATCGTTCAGCTTACATGAACTTTAAATTCAAGCTTTATACTCACAGGTTGGACTTGGGTTGGAAATAAACTTCCAAAATTCTTCATCTGCGGAGATATCATTTATCATTCTACAGAACAAAAAAAGTTGAAAGATCATTCGACAAAATACTTTAGTACCATGATTGTGTTACAAGCAGATGCAGCTTTAGCTGTGGCTATTTCTCCTATCATAGAAGTCAGAACATATCATTTGCCAAAACTAATCAATATCATTGCATAAACATAAACTAAAATAGACCTTCTGGATGAGCCAACTTAAGCAGTGCTACTGGAGCAATCATGATGGGAGCTGAGATGGGGTAACCTAATAGAATATGCTTGGAAACATATCTCTTTTGCTCACATCAACGAAAACCTGAACATCAAAGCACACTGGGAGTCACTAGGTGGTTGTTATAGTTGTCGGGAAATAATTAACGTAAGCGAACCCTCTAAACCATCTAGAGTGTTTGCCCTTAAAATGACGTGGCGTGCTGAGTCAGCATCGCCAAAGACGGTTCCCGGAGAACGAAGTAGTTTTTTTTTTTACTTTCTATACAGAAACACTCGGAACACCAAAAGGCTCAGGAAACGAAGAGTCTCTCTTTTTGGCAAAGTTGCAACCTTTGCGTATAAAAAGGTCACGATTCAGTCAAAGTTACCATCTTTCAGAGTGAAAGAGATGAATCACGGCGAAGGTTGGAGTTCCGGTGGCCGTGGAGGTCCTAGGGGCCGCTCTCAGGCGTCTTGGCAAATAGTAAACCGTCAAAAAAGCGAAAGTCACGTAAGTAAACGTGATTTTGTCGTCTCGTTATTCTAAGCATCAAACGGTATAAAAAAAACTAAAACTATGCAACACAAAGTGTTAAACAGTTTTTTTGGTTGAATTAATTTAACATTCTTTCACAAAAAAAGAAATGTGTTGTTGTGTTGTTCTCTTTTTTTCGTTTTCCAAGTTAGAGTCTTTACTTGTTGATTGCTAGTGTTATGGTTCCTAAGCACAATCTTCCTCTGTTACCTACAGGTTACGGTTGATAGGTCTTTGGATGAATCTTCTGGTAACAGGGGTGGTAGGGGGTTACGAGGGAGAGGAAGATGTACACAATCATGGTCTCCTAGAAACAACAATAGTCCAGAGCAAGTGTACGTTAAGAAGTCATCACAGGATGGCTTATGTTCTACTAAGCAACCTGATGAAGTTGCTGCTTTCAAGTGTTCTGGAGATGACAAGGTTCTCTTGCAGCCATCTGCTTCGTCTAACTCGAAGAACATAAATCTTAGTGGAGATTTGTCTGTCTCTAGAGAATGTGAGGATAAGAATGGCGGTAGAGTGTCTTGTTATTTAGTGAATAAGATGGAAGATGTTTCGCTCTCTGGCCAAGTGTCTGTGTCTTCTACGAGTGATAGGAATGTTGAGATTTCTAGTGTTGAGGATCAGGATGAAGCTCACAAGTCTGGTGATGTAGGGAACGCTTCGGATGATAGAAACACTAGACTTTTTGATCTCTGCGTCGAGAAAAAGGTTATGGGACTAAAAGCCTCTAGTTTGCAACTGAACAGAGAAAAGAGGAGAGCTGCTAAGGGGTACAGTGGAATTGTTGTTAGACCTGGGATGGTCCTTCTCCAGAACTACTTGTCACTCAATGATCAAGTAAGTACCTTTTTCCTTCTTTCCTTATATGTCTTATCTTATATGCATTATCTGTTCCTCATCTGCTTTACAAATTGCTTTGTAGGTGATGATTGTGAAGAAATGCCGGGAGCTTGGTTTGGGTGAAGGAGGCTTCTATCAACCAGGGTATAGAGATGGAGCATCATGTCATTTGAAAATGATGTGCCTGGGGAAAAACTGGGACCCTCAAACATCTCGATATGGAGATACTCGACCACATGATGGTTCTGTTCCACCAAAAATTCCTGCTGAGTTCAATCAGTTTGTTCAGAAAGCAATCAAAGATTCACAGTTCCTTGTTGCTACAAGCTCAAAGAAGACGAAAGGGGAAGATGAGATACCATGTATGTCGCCAGACATCTGTATTGCTAACTTCTACACATCCACTGGGAGACTTGGTCTACATCAGGTTAGTATTTCAAACCACTTCTTGATTTCTTATAAGCTTGTAGGTTATTTGCATCATTAGTATTGGCTCTTTGATGTTTCAGGATAAAGATGAGAGTTCAAAGTCCATTCAGAAGGGATTACCTGTTGTATCATTTTCTATTGGAAGTTCAGCCGAGTTTGTGTATTGTGATCAGATGAATGATAAGCCAGAGAAGGTTGTGTTGCATTCTGGAGATGTTCTATTATTTGGTGGCAAGTCCAGAAATGTTTTTCATGGCGTCCAATCAATTATCAAAGATACTGCTCCTCCGGTTCTTGTTCAGGAAACAAGTCTCCGACCAGGTCGTCTGAATTTGACTTTTAGGCAGTACTAAACCCAAAGCTAGAACTCTTACATGCATCTTGAGGCTGTTTTGGAATGTCTGAACATGTACAAGTTGTAGGTTCATAAGCTGCAGATTTCTATGCACTTATGTTTCTATTTTGGCTACATCACAGTGTCTTAGCAATATAACTATCCATTATGTTTCTCAGGTTTCTTATCTCGTCTGTGTACCCATTTTAGCTTGTCAACTTCGGTAAGAAGTGCAATTAAATTTTGTTCTATATTGGCCCATCTCTGCAACAGTTAGAATGTTCATTAGATTAACATGTCTGATTTCCTTTTCTATTATATACAATGAATCAGTGCACACAATGTTTACAGCTTAGGTTCTAGTTCAGTGAGTAAAGTTATTTCTTTTTTGTATGGTAGCTTAGTTCATCTTGTCACTCACGAGTCACGAGCTTGTTGATACTCCGATAGCTGATGCAGCTGAATCAACATAAAGTAGCAAGCAGGAGTATATTTTCTTCTTCAAACGTTCTATGTTCTCTAACAAAGAATCATCACCAGAGTGATCAATTTTAACTTTGTCAAGCCACTCGTTTGCTTGCTTAAGTTGGGATAAAGTCTCGGCAATGTGATTATCTGGTTCCTCTTCCCGTGCTCCTTTTGTTTTACCTTTCTTCACCTGGACACTAGTATGAAATCCAGTATCAATTGCTTCTTCCAAGAATCTCATAAACCAGCTTCGTGTTTCTTGTGTTATAGTGTCTCTCATTGCTTTTATCTCTTCTGTACCATTTCCTTTAACCCACTCTAGCTTTTCGGCTTCTGTTATAGTTTTTGAAGACTTCGCTGTGGCTCTGCTTGATGTTAGAATCGCTCTTTTGCTCAACTTGTCAGGCTCAGTCGGTATTGGATTACTATTCAAAAGCTGGAGTGATTTGTCTTTTGATGGTACAGATGTGACTTGTTCTTGGTCAAGGAGACTCTGGAGGCTGAAGAAATTTCTGAGAGAGGTATGTGGATTCTTTGGTGAAGCACTTGAGCTGAGGTCAGCAAACATACTACAAAAAATCATTGTTTCTTTTATTAGGAACTTTCACAAGACTACTTGTCTTAGATCCTAGTTGTTTCCTCTCCTCACTCAATCTCTCCATGATATATATGAGCATCTTTGATTTCAAGAAGGGTACTTACTTGATACACTTGAGAAGATGTGAAGCAGACATTGCCTCTCGTTGTGCCTCTGCGGCAAGCAGAGCAGCAATATTTCTCCTTCTCAGCATTCCCTTTTGGGTTTAAAAGAGATCAAGTGGTGACTAATGATCAGTGGAATGAGTATAAAGAATAAAAGGAGAGATACAGAGATCTGGTAGAGCATACTTTACCCATTTTTGTTAGATTAGTAGGCAGAGATCTCCATGATGCATCATCAGAAAAATTACTTTTCCTGTTTAAGTAATTCACAGTGGAGCTAAGAGAGAGTTTCTTTGGCTCTGCCTTCGTTGGAGCTGTAGCAGGGCGAGATTGTGGAGGACCAGCTTGATGTACCTACGCAGCACAAACATGTTAATCACAGGTCAACCATAAACTTTATGCTAGTTTACTTATCATCTAGAACTGTGCGACTCATATTAGAAGAACACAAACCTGATCTTTGTGCTCCCTCTGCTTGGTCTTAGCCAAACCACCAACTCTCTTAGTCGCCTTCACTGATCCAGTCTCGCTTTCATTGTTGCTACTGCCACTACTCGAGTCTGATCCACTTACCCTTGTGTTTGAAACACCTTGCATATATCTTGATGCCACACCTGTTTTCTCTTCCTTGATTACAAAATCTTGACGTCTTCTTAGATTCTCCACCACGTTTGATCTTGCACCATAGTTCTGCTGAAGAACATATATTAGAGAAAAGGTAAAAAGTAAAAAAAGCTCGAGCGTTTGATGATATGTATTGTGACATCACCTTCTTCTGTTTTTGATTATCTTCTTGCAGAGGTGTTGTTGTCTCAGAAGGAACCAACATCTGCATCAAATCTTTGGGGTTTCCTACAAAAGGATGGCGTCCAGAGATGGGTCTAACTCCCACCATTACAGGAACAGGTGTCCCAGCTTCAAGCTTATCAACGTAGAAGAACTGTCCCAGTCCCAGTTTGTTGTTCAAGATGAGTTCGTTGTCTTCGTTTCTCAATGAGACGTACGTGGAGTGAGAAGAATCTGAGACTTTGATGAAAAAGCCTTGGTTAGGCCAAAGCTCTGAGCCAGCTAAAGCAGGGACTATGCTGATCACCTGCAAAAGAACAGACCGATATTCTCCTCGAACCTTGATGTTTGTGTCCATTGTCTGGAGAAGCTTGATTAACACTCTAGGCGTAAGAGATGCCATTTCTTGAAACAGTGTGAGAATTGAATGTTACAAACAGAGAGAATAAAGAAAAAGGTTTTTGTTTCTTCCTTTTTTGTTGTTCCTTGACGATGGAGCATCTTCTCTAACTTTGCATGGCAGGTAAGTAAACATCATCATATTTCACTTGCCTTTGAAGTCATGTGATCATGTTAGGGTCATGAGGACTTCTTGGCCTAATCATTCTCTACTTTATAGGGTGAATGACTAATGTACCCTTAATGGAGTAGTGATGATGAGGTTATGGAAGGGGCTTTTTGGGGATTTGTGATTTGGTTTACTTCAACTTTGATCTCACGTCACTTTCCGAGGAAGATGGAGAAAGGTGGGGAAGGTGAGTAGATACCTTCTTTTGCCCCCACTTTGGTCTCACGTCACTTAAAGAAACGTAAAAGATTCTGGTTTTGGAAACGAACGCATGTTACATGACAACGATATGTAATTGCTACCATACTCCAAACAGCTTTTACTACCATACATGATTTGCACATTATCTAAGCATAGGACTCTATTCTTCTACAGGATCATAATGGTAAATGAACATTGCCATTTTTTTGTTTGTACAACCAAAATCACATGATACCAAACCGATAAGGACATGTTACAGGTTTGATACAATATACAAATGGAGGCTCAAGACCACTCTCAGAGAGTAAACAGGGGATATTATGAAGACAGAAGAAACTATTTCCAATGATACATTGACCTGGAAACAAAGAGCATGTAGTTTCGAATCATTTCCCCTTGCTACGAAAATTGGAGAGTGAAAAGAATGACCTTGGTGCTGCAGTAAACATGAAGTTTAAGAGTGAGTAAAAAAATCATATAGCGACCAATCTAATAATGTCAGTTCCAGTTCCAGATTCGTTATATGTTTAGAATCTATGGTGTTTCATAATATACCTTCAACTTTTAGATTCCATGGAGAGAAAGAATTGTTATGAATTTAGAGAATAGAGCACTAAGATTGATTACCTTTTACAGAAGCTCCTGACATCTGATCCTCCTTCAGTTTATAGCTCAATGGTGCGCTAGTGGTTCGTGCTGAAATTGGATACATAAATGTTAGATCAACATGACTCATATCAAGATGAGCAAAAATAATAACTCTAAAAAGCCTTTGATAACTCTAGTATTGATGCTTTATGCATACAAGGGGAATAGAAAAGGTTGTTACCTTGTTCATTGAATAGCTCACTCTCATTAAAGCTATCATCAGATGGTTGAGTCTGTAAGAATCTCGACTTTCTCAAGTCTTCTGATGAACGATATGCAAGATCACGTCCATCTTCAGTATCATCATCCCCTTCAGAGGTTGTTGCAGATATCCAGTCAGCCAAATTCTCAGCAGCACGGTTTTTCCTTCCAAAATTCAAAAGCCTTTTCAACCCTTTCGTCACATCCTGTTGGCACTGACCAGCAGCAACGTGTTTCTGAGCAGCTCCCCATTTCTTTCTCATTTGAGTTGAATCATTCTCTGTGTTAAGAGAAGAAGCCAAGTTCCAGAAAGTTGGACTATCCACTGGTGAGTCCACTGATGCATCAAGCTCAGATGCCTCGTTTTGATATTGATGCTTCACTCGTGCATCCAGAAACGAACCAATGGTTTGGTGATGCCTAGAAGCCATAACAGTAGGTAACTCAGCGTTTAAACCAGAGTCAAGCTGAGTAATAGATTCACCATCTTCAAACTCTTGACTAAGTCTTGATTTCTCGTTTTCAGCATCAGTAAAAGCTTCAGCTTCTGTGTCATCAAGCACATCTTCCATTCCCTCTTTCTCCATCTCGTCTGATGCATCTGATCCTTCTGAAGCCTTTAGCTGCGCATCATCAGAGCTGATACTAACTCCAAGATTGTTCAAATTTCTCCCGCTATGCTCTTGCTCGACAACACCATCCTCCGCAGCTTCAGCAGCAACTTTTCTGAAATTGGTCGGCCTTCGCAGCTTCCCTTCTTCAGTTACAGCCTTGGGTTTCACAGAGCTTCTCGTCTGTGAGCGGACACCATTTTTTGGTTTCATACCTTCCTTCTTGAAATCGGCGAAGTTAGGGACTGACTGTGCAAGAAGTTTGTCTTGTCCTCTCCTCCTAGCAGAACTAGGTGTAGAAACTTTCGCTGCAGAGCGTGAAGCTGATGTAGCAGTGGTGGTTCGAGCAGTCAAGGAACTGCTTTTGTTTTGTTGTAGCTTCTTATTCTGTGTGCTCCTGGAAACATCTTCATCTTCTTCACTCTGAAATGAGCTAATTGGATGCTGTGAAATCATTGCATTATTAAACTTATCAGGAAACCAAGAATTGAAGTAGTTTTAGCACTCAACCACAGGTAAAACTCTCAAAAGAAGAAAATGAGTATACCTGATCCTTTTTAGCACTCAGCCTAGAATTGAAATATACAAGCTTCTCTGCACGTCGAGCATCTGAGTCACGTCTTGCCGTAGACTGAGAAAATTTGGTTTTCATCTCAGCGTTACTGCGATCAAGTATATCTTGCATCATCTTCAACTTAGCTTCCTTCTCTGTCCTTCTTGAAGTCCAGTCTTCCTTCAGCTTTGCGTCTCTCTTCTGCATATACTCCTCATAGAACTTTCCTCTAGACTTATCTGAAAAGCTGATTTCAGGAATTTTTTGCCTTGTGGTTCCTCCATAGTCATTGTTAGCAGCCACCTTCACTGTTGGTGGGGTTTTGAACTTGTCTTCATCGTTTGAGCTTAAACTTGGCATTTTTGGGGTCTTCTGATTAGAAATTTGTAGAGAAGATATATCATCTGCTACACGTCTTCTAGGCTGTGATGTCACAGCTTTTTCACTCGGCTTTACGGGCTTGCCTCTACGGACAGAACTGGATTGATCCCCCGGCACACGCAGCATGTGTTCAGCAAATAGCTTCTCAAGCTCGTTTGCTTTCACTTTCAATTCATCATTCAGCTCTTGACTTCCCTTACACGCTCTGGCCCTTTGAACTTGCTCTGCCATGGACACTTGGCTCAAAGTATCACTCTCAGAGATATCTGAAACACTATTAATGGCTGCAGGTGGCTTTTTATTAACATCAGCAGAACCAGTCTCAGCCCTTCTACTATGCGGTCTTTTCATCTGTTCAGAACCTAAAAGACAAAGGTGCATGAATGTAATCAGAAGATTGGTGCGTTTTCCTTTTTTTGTAGAAGTCAGGATAGTAAGAAAATCTACAAGTATAGAAAAGAATATAGGTACGTTGTCACATTGAAAATTAGTCCTTATCCTATTCTCAGACAGCTGTTAATAATAAGCATTCCATAAAAAAATACTTCTACTGTCATGATAATTATTTTTCTTTTTGAATTATACAAGGTATCTTTGACTCCCACCAAAAAAAAAAATACTTCTAGTGTCATGATACCACATGTCAATCCTTATCCCCAGTGACCAGAACACGAACCGTAGTGATTTCACCGTATTGGGCTTTGCCCTCAAGTTAATCACCACTAGGCCAGAAGTGCTGGTTCATGATAATTATTAAGCATTAGAAAAATCTCAGTTACGCGTAAAAAAGAATGAGAAAAGCAGTGCATGATGGTTAGATGCATAAAAAAGAGATGGAATTATAAAAAAACGCATATAAGGAAAGACCAACACATTCTTTTTACTTAACTGACCTCCATAGAACTGTGCCTTTCTCTGGCCATCCTCAACTGGTGGTGATTGCCTAGCTGAAGGTTCTTTCTTAGGAGAGTCCACAGTTCCTCCATTGCTCCGAACACTAGTGATATTAGATTCAGTACCACCTAACTGCTGTAATGTAGACAATGAATGACTCCGAGGATCTCTAAACTCTATTTGGTTTTGCTTATCTGATTCAAAATCCCCCATATTGTTATTGGACTCATCATCTATATTTGCATTCCTTGAGTAATCCATAGTCCCTCTTGAATTCTTATCATAGTATGGAAACTTGGAATTGTTTTCCAATAAACCATCCTGTGAATCTCCTTGGTGTCCCGCTTGATTATCAGTGTTCAATGGCACCTTCAAGTCTACCTCCTTGTCTTTCCGTAAAACAGTAGAGCTTGAACTGGTTGAACTACATTCATCTTCATTCCTCTGACGATTGTCAACATGACTCAATCCGTTCTGCTCTCTTTTACTACTGTAGCCGACAGACTGTTTTGATGATATACCACTTCCATCTTTGGACACTGATGATGACGAGGGACTATCACCAGTACCATCCTTCCTATCATTTCCCAAATCAATGCTCATGTCACTAGCACCACTCCATCTTCGTACAACAACTTTTTCCATGCCTGCAGAAGATGATAAATCAGAAGAGAGCCTTTTCAGCTCAGTGGATTTTACAACAGCTGTTTTCCCTCCAGAGTTTTCTTTCTGCTTGTTTTCAAATAGGTTGATCCTCTCCTGCACACTGAGCCTTCTCGTGAGTTGCCTAGTCTGACTTGCTAGTGGCTCATTTTGCACATGACTTTTTTCCTCTTCTTCATCCTTTTCACCACCTTGTTGGGAGAAGTTGGTTCCTTCTGACAATGGCTGTTCCATACCAGTTTGATGTTCCCTATGTTGTTGGGATCTGTTAGTTACTTGGTTTTTGGATGGATCTTCACTGGGATCATCAATTGACATATCAGATTCCCATGACGAACGTATAGCTTCTTCTTCCTGATTGAACCTCCAAGATCTCATCAGCTCTGGCCTTCTCTGGCAAAGTGCAATAAACTTGGTGCATGCTTCACTGCGATAAGTATAACAAACCAACCATGATCAAAGTACGCAAAACAGGTAGTTAACTAAGTTGAAAGCCAGAATATTTTTGGAAGTCTGTGAATTAGAAATGCCTAGTCTAAAAAAGTGAGATAATTGACCAGGTTAAATATTGGTAACCCCACAGAGAAAAGAAAGAGATTGAATTTTTTAGTACAGTTAGGCATCTTAGTCCTTTATAATCATGATCATCCACCTACCAGTAGTTCTCATGTCTACATCAGACCAAACCTACCAAAATTAGAGCATGATTGGTTTCTGTTTAAGGAAAAGAGCATGCATAATGCCCTAAACATGTAAAACATAAATCATATAGGCGACTATATAAACATGTGGTTTATGGTGATCCTAGACTAAGGTATTACACCAAAATCCAAAATTCAAAGGGGGGTCACTTGGTTGCATGGTCTAGCTAGCAAGAAATGCAAACAAGTAAAAGAGTAAAATTTAGCAGTAACTATGAAAAGTCCGAACTCAAATTACAGCACCCACCACCCAGAGCTTCTCGGTTTAAGCCCATATAAAATTAGACAAGTGGCGTGATTTAAGATGTCTTGTCTTTTGTGTGTAGAAAAGGCAGACACAAAGGACATAATGACAGGACCTGGCATATAATATAGAGGATATAAAGTAAAGGATATCTTAATACTTACTTCAAGCGATTGGCCCCAAATCGATCAGCAAATTGGCTAAGTTCGGGGACAGTGACTGGGTTGAAACCAGCAGCGGATGCACGATTACAAGCAGTTTCTAAGTCCTGTCTAACTGCTGCAAGCCGTAAATCAATAGCTCTCAGTAGCTCCTTCCTGGTAAGGAACAACATTTCAAGAGTGCATAAGACGTACAAAATAAAAACAACTTGGCACAGTTAACAGAACACATTATTTATCAAAGTAATTAAAGGGTTGGGACTTTACTTCGTCACATCAGCTGCTGGTGTAGTTTCTGTGCCATCTGAACCAAGAAAGGTTTAGCGAGATTATGCCAAAGCAAGAAAAAAACGACCAACATGTAATTATATATATTGCTGGACAGGTATGGGTAACAGAAAACGACATAATGACTTCAGATTCTAAATATAGAAAACGACACAAAACATTCAGATTCTAAATGTAACTCAGCCACTCATAAGGTGCCTTGTAGATGCTTTTCTCATATTTAGTAGTAAGATTTCTAGCTGTAACGCATTGACTCTGGAGTCGTACATACTGTAAACTCAGCCAGTATAACAGTCTATCAAAAAAGGGGCACAGTGATGGTCTATATAAGATACTATTCTAGCTTCCGTGAATTACTAAACAGCATCACAGTTAATTTCACAACTTTTATCACTAACCGTCACTGTAACCATACTCTTAGAGCCAATACACAATCTGCCATGTACGGTATATGTAACAGAATATATACAATGCATACCTTTTGCACCAGATGGCTGCTCACCAATCCCCTAAAGCAAGACATTATCAAAATCAATAAGAGCACTCAAGTTAACACATTCATTAGCATAACTTGAAGTACCTCGCCATATATTTTCCGGGCAGCCTCTAACTGAGACATTTCCACATCCAAAGTGCTCACCAATTCCAAAACCTCTGGGGTACTAACAAAGCGTACAAACCTATAAACCAGAGCAGGCACGAGGAAAATTAGCAATGATGTCTATTCCACTAAAACTAGCACACATCTCCGTTCCAAAAAAAAAAAGGAATCAAAACCTCTCGATTGTCGCTTTAGTAAACCAAGTTCCAGCATTTTTACTGCTTTCAAGTTGTAGCCTGATACACTGAACATCCCTGGCCACTTGCTCTTCAGCGACTTTCAAATGAGCAACAAAAGGTTTGACCAGTCCAGAAGCAATTTTCTCAGTATTCCCCCCAGTAGAGACAAACAATTCACATCTTCCCAGAAAGGAAAAAAAAAAAACATAGAACGTATGTTAAAAACCAACATTATTACAAGACAAAAGAAGAAACCATCTCCAATATTTACCTTGACCTCTTAGGAGAGAGTTGGAAGATAGCATAGTCAAGAGGTATAGCTGGTCTCATCTTCTCCCCTGACACCCTTTAACATAACCCAACAAAAGATAAGTAAAGACAGCATCAGAAGCCTAAATGCTATAGTGGAAAACTGATGCGGCAGAATCCATAATGGGAAATTCAAACAAGAAGAGTGAATATCTATATTTGGATACTCTCCCCAAACTTAAAAAACCACATTATCCTACAAAAACAGAAACCCCACAAAGTTGACAAAACACAACATAGATCTGGTTCCAAAGATGAGATCTTGAAATCCAAAACGGGAACTTTCAAGTGAAGTCTTACTCGGATCAGCCTTACCTATGTGTAGTAGAAGGAATCAACAAAAAAAGAAGAGATCTTTAGGTCTCTTTCCACTTCAAATTCGAATAGTCACTCCCCAAAACCCTAACAATGGCGGCGATTACTTTATTTTATCTTCTGCTCTTCACTCCCCAAAACTCTTTTAACAAATGGTGCTACTAAAGCAATTCTGAACAACCTTTTTGTTCTTTAGTTGCTTCTGAGTAGATTTGATTTCTCTCCTCATTGTCTAAAAACTACTTTTGGAGCGAGAAAGTAAATTCTAGAGAGAGAGAAGGCGTTTGTTCAGACAGAAAATCACCATTTTTGTTGACGAGAGACACTGTGAGAACAAAAACAAAACAATACAAAAAAGAGAAGTAATTTTGTTAGAGCGTAAATTTTCAAATTTTAAATTAAAATTTAATTAAAAGAAAGTCGGCAGTGTATAATGCGAAATCCCGAATATAGGGTTCTCCCTTTTACCCTTCGTTCCTTCCAATATTTATTTAATTCTTTTATACATGATTTTCAAGGGAGAAAAAATAAAGTCTTCATAAATTATAGTTAACTTTAATTTCTTGCATTTTTTGAAACAATTAAATTTCTTACAAATAAAGAGGTAAGTGAGGGTATTTTGGTACTTTACCTTTTAGATCAAACGAAATTTAACGTTCATAATAAAACAGCACAATGATTGGGTTTTCAAAGAGTTCAAAAAATGAAAAATCTGTATTATATACTTTAAACAAATACAGTACTAATTAGATGACAAAAAATTAATACTAAAGTACTTATTCCACTCTGCTCAAAGCTACTAAGAGCATGATTATTGCAGGTCCCTTAAGCTGGGTCCCTTAGCGTACAGTCCCTTAGCTTTTAACTGAAAACGCTAAGGGACGTCCCTTATATAAGGGATTTAAGGGATGTCCCTTAGCGTTTTCAGTTAAAAGCTAAGGGACCGTACGCTAAGGGACCCAATTTAAGGGACCTGCAATAAACATGGTCTAATATTTTAACACCAACCATTTTTATTCTAACTTTTGGAGACACTTTTAAAATGATGGACCCCATGAACAAAGGCTGGGAAATATCTAATTATTTCAGGATAACACTTTTTAATTCTAACTTTAATTTAAAATGAGAATTGGTCCTAACCAAAATGTAGAATAAGACATCCTGCTTTAAATCCTAACGAATTCTTCATAAATTCCAATTTATTGGTTCTTTGGTAATTATGTTTACTATTTACTTGGAATGAGAGTGAACTTTGTAATTGCAAACTTTGTTTTACCAGAAAACATATAACTTTCAGTCATATCCTACATTTTAGGATTATATTTTACGACCAAGAAGTTTCGTTTCGCAACAAACTTTCATTATTGTATTCTTCACAAGGACGTTAACAAAATTTTGAATGATTTTTTACGGTGTGACTGAGAGTGGGAATATGATAATTCCTTCAAATATCATCATTTACTTTTCGATACATACCTACAAAAATCAGAAACCGCACTAAGAAAAAAAAACATGAAGAGTTTAATTATAAGTTAGTGCACAACTGCACATGATTAATTTATGAGAAACTTCCATGTGAGGTTGACATTCCAACTGATTCCCAAGTTGTTAACAACAGTAAATATACGGACACTTACTTCAAAGTAGTAAAAGGTAGTAATATAAAATAAAAACGATATGACATGTTTAGTCGAATTTTCATCTTTGTATAGTTGATTTTTTCTAACGAAAACACAAACATGAATTCTAAAAAGCGACCAGTAGCTTACTACTTACATGAACCCATTATACATTATGTACACTACCGTCGTTGGATCGAATCGTTTTTGCACGTGCATGATTTCGCTTTAATCCTCTTCAACGGTCCAATGCATTTAGCTAGGCACAAACCTGCAAATATTACAGACGTTGTCAAGGAAACATGTATAATATATAGTATTTTTATAGCATTTGAACTAATAGGGGGGAACAAAGAAAGAGGATCATGTGACAATGAAAAGATATGGAGCTCAAACCAATCGCAAATATTGAGACTCGTGGCATGTGTCTCACATGGTGTTCCAGCTGCATATGATTATGACAATAATTAATGTACAAAATCAAGATATTTCAATCTTGTGTGTGTGTGACCATGTGCATGAATATCACCTAAAGTCATTTGCAAGATTAGGGTTTTTAATTGCTCATAATGCAAAACCTAAACAATAGATAAATTGTTGCCTTACGAGTCAAAGGAGAAACTGTGATGCTTGATCAACAAGAGAATCTTGAACACGACCTGGATCAACAATCAACTTCTGATGACCATTCCTTGTGACATTTTCTCCGGAAATGCGAGTTCTCAACTTCTCGAGACCATTTTCTGGCGCAGGACCCGCCACTGTTTCATCCCAAAGCTTGTGCAAGAATCCCATAACTATGATCGAATGCTTTTAAAAGAGTTTTTGTTTATCTCTAAAGGGTTTTGTTAATGATCTCTCTAGTGTTTTTTTTTATTGGAGGATAATAGTGGTTTTATTTATATATAAGAAAGAAAGAGAAGCGTTGAATATATTTGGTTAGACTAATAATATAAGATTTGACCTTAAATTAAAACTTCCAAAATTAAAGAGATTTAATCAAGGATGATGATATTATTAAACAAAGTTGATAAATCTAGCCGACAAAGGAGGTCAGCTTAGACAGTGAGTTTATAGGATGTGTCTTGTCATCCAACAGAATAATCTAACAGTTTATAGGATCGCTTAGATTTTTTTGTACATTATGGGCCGAGGGTTGGGCCTGGGCTATAGTTAAAAAACATTCTGCAACGGCAAGTAACCAATTAACCATATTTAAAATCGTGGATGGATAAAAGCAAAAGAACAAGATTGAAAAGTTACCGTTAAACAATCTCCAGAAAAAAAAAAGCGCTCTTCTTCTTCTTCCTCCTCTTATTCTCTCTCACAAGAAAATCACCAAGAAACTACTCCATCTTCCCAAAGGTAATACCCCTCTTTCTTATGATTTAGGTTTAGATTAAACTGTTCATGAAGATCATGGTGTTTAAGTTTTCTGAAGAATCAAATTAGGGCTTAGGGTTTCCATCAGATCAAAATCTTGATTTTGTTTTTGGTTCGTGTAAACAGTTAAAAAATCTGTGGCGAACATGAATGCTCTTCAACAGATGATTTTCCCTGACGAGAACGCTCCGATTCATCGCAAAAGTATTCAACTTTTTTCTCTTTATCTATTTAGAAATCAATAATGTTTAATCTATTGATCATTGCTTTGAAACAAGACTCTTGTTTTGTTATTACAGAGAGTGTTGCTGCTGCTGCTTCTGTGAAAAGTACCAAAGGATCTGTAATTGGTCAGAAGAAGAAACCTGGAGGAGCTCGTAAGGCTCTCAATGATATCACAAACAAGTCTGGAATTCATCCCAAAGCTTCTTCTAAGAACAAGCAAATCGCTTCTTCTGCTGCTGCAAAATGTGAAATAGACATAGCAGGGGAGATGTTCTTACATGATCACAGCAAATGCATCAAAGAGCAGCAGAGTCTCTGGGATGATCACTTCTCTGCTGATATTCTACTCCATCATGGTATGGTAACCACTAGTCTTTCCTTGTAAACTTGTGCTATAATGCTTATTGTTTTTGTTTTTACACAGATTCTTCCAGCATCAAGGGAAAGTATCTCAAGCATGACAAAGAAATGGTACTTGACTCTTGCTTCAGTGTGTATCTCTTGACACTTGATTTATATGTCCATAGGATCAGAAATGAATATACCTTTGTGTGTTTTATGGTTTCAGGTGAATGATAAGAATAATCTGACTTGTGACGAACCAGAAGAGATACCATCCCCCATGTTGAGTGACTGGCTGAAGAGCTCAACAACTCCATGGCGCTCTCCAATCCGGCATGACTCTATGATGATGATGATGCCTTCCACTCCTCTGGCTTGGCGGTTTGATTCAGCTGAGTTCACTCTCAAAGAAGACTTTGACGACCTCTTCTGATTGTCTGCTCCTTATTGTCGCTGAATATTTTCATCTTTTAGATGAACTAGTAGTCGTAGTAGTAGCATTCATCTCAACAATGTTGTTCCCATTCTTCATGTACTGTGTCCACCACTCTGCAACTGATTTCAGGAATAAAAAAGTCCAGTGTACCGTAACCATTTCACAACATTCACTGATTCCTTTGTACCGTAACCTTAAAAGTATTGTATCTGTCTTCACATGATTAACGTGGATGAATCTGCAGCCTACAGGATTATTCTTTCATAAATTGTTCGAACTCTGTGACTTTTAGTGTGATTGCTGTAATTTTAGTGAGCCAAAGTGTATTTAGACAAAGATACACATGTTGAAAGAGATTCAACTACGACGTAACAGACAATTATAGTTTGCCATGCTTGGTTCAATACCAAACAAAAAATGTGAATATGATTAAATGCTCAAAAAGGCAACGACTCTTGCATAGGAGAGAACAATTCAATCACAGAGTAGAGAGAAAGGGAGAAAGAAAAAAGCTCTGAGAAGACCAGAACCAGTTTGGAGGAGACCAGAACCAGTCCTCTTGTGTGTGACTAGTCGACAAATGTGGAGGTGACTTAGCAAAAATATTGAACTGAAGGGGCTATGAAGTGGGGACTCCGTAGTTGTTGGACGAAGACGTTTGGTGAGAAGCAGATTGAGCATTGTTCTTTCTCCTGTTTCTTCTCCCACCATTGTTCTTCCCTTTCTTGAAATCCTGCTGATGTTCAACCTGCTTTCACCAGCAAAACACCAGTTAGTTATCAAGACCAAGCAGCATCATTCAGGATGAGCATTAAGAGATTAAGCTATTTACCCCTAAAGAAAAGGTGTGAGCAGCTCTAGGATCAAATGAAAAAGGATCATTAACCCCAAACGAACTTGTTGTCTCAAATGGTGACTGCTGAGTATTCGAGTCAAACACAAAGCTACAAGAGGAAGTGAAAGTTGAAGCAGAGTAAGGTGATGACGATGAGGAGGAGAATGCTGTAGCGTCTCCTTGAAACATCTCATGAAAGAGATCTTGTAACTGTTCAAAGCTGTCCCCTGAACTGTTCTCCTGCCAAAACCAACATCTCAAAATGTTACTCAGGCGCTATCAGCCAATCAACAGCGTTTAACACAATAAACATATGGGAAACTATCTTACACTAGGCTTGGATTGATTCATCATTACAGCCATTTCGCTCAAGAAATCTCCCATTCCCTGCACAATAATGATTATTCCATCAAATACATGGTTTATATATGATCAATAAACATACAAACAACATGTCGAGAAGCAAGTAAATATCACTTGTTCCATTTACAACGCAAAATGTTTATAGTTTCGAGAGCATTGCCCCTTTAGAGACAATAAAAACAAAATTTTAAATTAAAAATTTAGGGAATTTACGTTTTGGTCAGAATCATCATCACTATTATAAGCTCCAACGTCATAGAGGAACCTCTTGTTGGAGTCAGACAGAACTGTGTGTCCATAAAAAGAAAAAAGCTTAATTCACAGACATAAACAATACTTTAAAAGAAGGACACATCAAGGAAACAGGAAACGACAAAGGATCTTCTGTTTATCCAATAATCAACTCCCATTTCTTCCATCAAAACTGACAAGAGTTTTGAGAAGAAAGCTTATGAAATTTACCAGAGTAGGCCTCTTGGATGCCCTGAAACTTCTTCTTTGATTCATCTATAAACTCCAAGTTCCCCATTGATGAACAACGATCTGGATGCCATCTCTAATAACAACATCAAAATCAAAAGTTCAGTGCCCAAAGGAATGATCTTTTATTATTTTCCACAAAAAGTGCATATAATCACAGCTTCCAAATCTCTCAATTTAAAACCTATCATCTAAAGGCATGATCTTTATTCACAGAATCTATTTCAAATCCACCGACGATCCATCTGATTCAAACTAACAAATAAATCAGAAATGTATAAAAGGTAACTCACAAGAGCTAGCTTTTTATAAGCAGTACGAAGCTCAGTGGTCGTGCATTCCTAGAATACATATAACTTTGTAATTGCAAACTTTGTTTTACTAGAATATACATATAACTTTCAGTCATATCCTACATTTTGAGAATTATATTTTACGACCAAGAAGTTTCGTTTCGCAACAAACTTTCATTATTGTATTCTTCACAAGGACGTAACAAAATTTTGAATGATTTTTTACGGTGTGACTGAGAGTGGGAATATGATAATTTCTTCAAATATCATCATTTACTTTTCGATACATACCTACAAAAATCAGAAACCGCACTAAGAAAAAAAAAACATGAAGAGTTTAATTATAGGTTAGTGCACAACTGCACATGATTAATTTATGAGAAACTTCCATGTGAGGTTGACATTCCAACTGATTCCCAAGTTGTTAACAACAGTAAATATACGGACACTTACTTCAAAGTAGCAAAAAGGTAGTAATATAAAATAAAAACGATATGACATGTTAATTAGTCGAATTTCTCATCTTTGTATAGTTGATTTTTTTCTAACGAAACACACAAACATGAATTCTAAAAAGCGACCAGTAGACTACTATTTACATGAACCCATTATACATTATGTACACTACCGTCGTTGGATCGAATCGTTTTTGCACGTACATGATTTCGCTTTAATCCTTTTCTACGGTCCAATGCATTTAGCACAACCCTGCAAATATTACAGAGGTTGTAAAGGAAACATGTATAATATATAGTATTTTTATAGCATTTGAACTAATAGGGGGGAACAAAGAAAGAGGATCATGTGACAATGAAAAGATATGGAGCTCAAACCAATCGCAAACATTGAGACTCGTGGCATGTGTCTCACATGGTGTTCCAGCTGCATATGATTATGACAATAATTAAATGTACAAATCAAGATATTTCAATCTTGTGTGTGTGTGACCATGTGGATGAATATCACCTAAAGTCATTTGCAAGATTAGGGTTTTAATTGCTCATAATGCAAAACCTAAACAATAGATAAAATGTTGCCTTACGAGTCAAAGGAGATCCGGGGATGCTTGATTCAGCAGGAGAATCTTGAACACGACCTGGATCAACAATCAACTTCTGATGACCATTCCTTGTTACATTTTCGCTGGAAATGCGAGTTCTCAACTTCCCTAGACCATTTTCAGGCGCAGGACCCGCCACTGTTTCATCCCAAAACTTGTGCAAGAATCCCATAAACTATGATCAAATTCTTTTAAAAGAGTTTTTGCTTATCTCTAAAGGGTTTTGTTAATGATCTCTCTAGTGTTTTTTTTTATTGGAGGATAATAGTGGTTTTATTTATATATAAGAAAGAAAGAGAAGCGTTGAATATATTTGGTTAGACTAATAATATAAGATTTGACCTTAAATTAAAACTTCCAAAATTAAAGAGATTTAATCAAGGATGATGATATTATTAAACAAAGTTGATAAATCTAGCCGACAAAGGAGGTCAGCTTAGACAGTGAGTTTATAGGATGTGTCTTGTCATCCAACAGAATAATCTAACAGTTTATAGGATCGCTTAGATTTTTTTGTACATTATGGGCCGAGGGTTGGGCCTGGGCTATAGTTAAAAAAAACATTCTGCAACGGCAAGTAACCAATTAACCATATTTAAAATCGTGGATGGATAAAAGCAAAAGAACAAGATTGAAAAGTTACCGTTAAACAATCTCCAGAAAAAAAAAGCGCTCTTCTTCTTCTTCCTCCTCTTATTCTCTCTCACAAGAAAATCACCAAGAAACTACTCCATCTTCCCAAAGGTAATACCTCTCTTCCTTCTGTGTTAGGTTTAGATTAAACTGTTCATGAAAATCATGGTGTTTAAGTTTTCTGGAGAACCAAATTAGGGCTTAGGGTTTCCATCAGATCAAAATCTTGATTTTGTTTTGGTTCGTGTAAACAGTTAAAAAATCTGTGGCGAACATGAATGCTCTTCAACAGATGATTTTCCCTGACGAGAACGCTCCGATTCATCGCAAAAGTATTCAACTTTTTTCTCTTTATCTATTTAGAAATCAATAATGTTTAATCTATTGATCATTGCTTTGAAACAAGACTCTTGTTTTGTTATTACAGAGAGTGTTGCTGCTTCCGTGAAAAGTACCAAAGGATCTGTAATTGGTCAGAAGAAGAAACCTGGAGGAGCTCGTAAGGCTCTGAATGATATCACAAACAAGTCTGGGGTTCAACCCAAAGCTTCTTCTAAGAACAAGCAAGTAGCTTCTTCTGCTGCTGCTGCAAAATGTGAAATAGACATAGCAGGGGAGATGTTCTTACATGATCACAGCAAATGCATCAAAGAGCAGCAGAGTCTCTGGGATGATCATTTCTCTGCTGATATTCTACTCCATCATGGTAATACCATTTTATCTTCTAATCTCTGGTGGTAATGAGATTTTGTTTGTAAACGTGTGCTAAGCTTGTTCTTTTGGTTTTTTACAGACTCTTCCAGCATCAAGGAAAAGCATTTCAAGTGTGAGAAAGAAATGGTAACTTATGAGAGAGGATGTTGTTTATATTTTCCATGGATCAGACTGGATCTTTTTCTTGTTTTGGAGCTTGAGACGGTACTTATGTGTTTGTGGTTTCAGATGGATGATAAGAACAATTTGACTTGTGACGAACCAGAAGAGATACCATCGCCCAAGCTGACTGATGATTGGCTGAAGAGCTCAACTCCATGGCGCTGCTCCCCAATCCGTCAAGGTTCTATGATGATGATGATGCCTTCCACACCTATGGCTTGGCGGTTCGATTCAGCTGAGTTCACTCTCAAAGAAGACCTCTTCTGAATGTATCTCTGAAATTTTTTCACCCTTTAGATGAAGTAGTACTTACTTGGTTAGAGAGCTACTATGTTTTGTTCAGCTCAACAATGTTCCACCACTCTCTAACTGATTTCATGAATAAAAAGTTGGTTTCTTTTCAAACACATGAGCACACTCATTTAACACATTCCACAACAAGCACTGAATACACGCCAAGCGTTATGTTAATATCATTAAAGTGTTCTATCTCTCTTCAACATGATTAACGTGAATGAATCTGCAGCCTACAGGATTATTCTTATTGTTCGAACTCTCTGACTTTTAGTGTGATTGCTGTAATTTAGTGAGCCAACGTGTATTTAGACAAAGATACACATGTTGAAAGAGATTTAACTAAGACGTAACAAACAAACAATAACAGTTTGCCATGCTTGGTTCAATACCAAACAAAAATGTAAGTATGATTAAATGCTCAAAAAGGTAACGACTCTTGCATAGGAGAGAACAATTCAATCACAGAGTAGAGAGAGAGAGAGAGAGAAAGAAAAAAGCTCCGAGAAGACCAGAACCAGTCCTCTTGGGTGTGACTAGTCGACAAATGTGGAGGTGAGTTAGCAAAAATATTGAACTGAAGGGGGCTATGAGGTGGGGACTCCATAGTTGTTTGACGACGACGTTTGGTGACCACCAGATTGAACATTGTTCTTTCTCCTGTTTCTTCTCCCACCATTGTTCTTCCCTTTCTTGAAATCCTGCTGATGTTCAACCTGCTTTCATCAGCAAAACACCAGTTAATTGTCAAGAACAAACGGCATCTTCAGGATGAGGCATTAAGAGATTAACCATTACCCCTAAAGAGAAGGTATGAGCAGCTCTAGGATCAAATGAAAAAGGATCATTAATCCCAAACGAACTTGTTGTCTCAAACGGTGACTGCTGAGTATTGGAGTCAAACACAAAGCTGCAAGAGGAAGTGAAAGTTGAAGCAGAGTAAGGTGATGACGATGAGGAGGAGAATGCTGTAGCGTCTCCTTGAAACATCTCATGAAAGAGATCTTGCAACTGTTCAAAACTGTCCCCTGAACTGTTCTCCTGCCAAAACCAACATCTCAAAATGTCACTCAGGCGCAATCAGCTAGCTAATCAAGAGCGTATAACACAATAAACATATGGGAAAATATCTTACACTAGGCTTGGATTGATTCATCATTACAGCCATTTCGCTCAAGAAATCTCCCATTCCCTGCACAATAATGATTATTCCATCAAATACATTGTTTATATATGATCAATAAACATACAAACAACATGTCGAGAAGCAAGTAAATATCACTTGTTCCATTTACAACGCAAAATGTTTATAGTTTCGAGAGTATTGCCCCCTTTAGAGACAATAAAACAAAATTTTAAATTAAAAAATAGGGAATTTACGTTTTGGTCAGAATCATCATCACTATTATAAGCTCCAACGTCATAGAGGAACCTCTTGTTGGAGTCAGACAAAACTGTGTGTCCATAAAAGGAGAAAACGCTCAATTCACAAACATAAACAATACTTTTAAGGACACATCAAGAAACAATGAAACAACAGAGGATCTTCTGTTATCCAATAATCAACTCCATAGTTTTGAGAAGAAGGATGGAAGAAAAGGCTTGGTAAAATTACCAGAGTAGGCCTCTTGGATGCCCTGAAACTTCTTCTTTGATTCATCTATAAACTCCAAGTTCCCCATTGATGTACAACGATCTGGATGCCATCTCTAATAACAACAACGCCAAATCAAAAGTTCAGTGCCCAAAGGAATGATCTATTATTATTTTCCACAAAAGTGCATATAATCACAGCTTTCTCAATTAAAAACTACACATCTAAAGGCAATAATCTTTATTTATAAATCCACCGACGATCCATCTGATTTAAACTAACAAATAAATCGATTTGCTATTCACATGCAATTACTCCAGATCAGGTAATAAGGCAGATTCAATTTCATTCATCATTCTGTTCCATGAAGACTAAACTGGCGAATATAAAATATATATTAAAAGGAAACTCACAAGAGCAAGCTTTTTATAAGCAGTACGGAGCTCAGTGGTCGTGCATTCCTTCTTCAGACCAAGAAGATCATACAGATTATCACTACCTTTCTCGTTAATGTTCAAAGCCATTCCTTACTTTCTTTTTCTCAAGTTTTTACAAAACAACAAACTTGAACTTAATGAAACAAAACAAGTAAACAGAGGAGGATTAGGTTTTGAAAATTCAGTGATAAAAGAAGGGGTTTTTATTTAGTTTATCCTCTCTGTCTTTCTACAACATACGTAAAATGGAACTCTCCAGAACCTCTATTACCACGTGTCTATGTCTTCCTCTTTTACTACTTTCCTTTTCTTTTATTGATTTCTGTATTTTCTTTTTAATAGGTTGGGTGGATAAAATTTTACAAGATCATGAGAGTGCGGCTGAGATTTTATCAGATTTCGTTGATATTTTCCTTATTGCCCTCTCCAGAAGGTTCTTATGAATGTGGTCCTTCTTGGTAAAGATGTGCCTTCTTTTTTTCAGTTTTAAAAATCCGCCATGACCCCACTTATGAGTGATGACTAATCTGTCGTTTAACCAAGTCATTACCAATGGGTTTTTGTTTGTTTAATCCTTTTTCTTTACCTCATTGCTAATTAAGCTAAACAAATTATCAAAAAGAACTTCACCTCCTTATAAAGTATCAAAGATTGTTGTACTTTGTATCACAATATGCTTAGATGTCGATTTACACAAAAGACTGATAATATGATAGTGCAGTGTGTCTTGACGTACACGTTATAGACCAAAAATGTCGCAAACTTGACTCTGTTGTATAGCAACTAACAAATTTATATAGAAGACTATTCATGAACATCCTCTCTGTTTTATTGCATTCGGAATCAGAGTCCCCCACCCCCAAATAAATTAAAATGTCAAAAAAAAGTTAAAACCAACAAAAGATCCTGAGTTATGTTCATCAACGATCATGACTTTCAGTAAAATTATATACAAGTTTGTTTTACCCTCTCCTCTCTCTTTTCTTTTTTCTTGTTTACCTTTTCACCTTTTTCTTCTTTGAATGTTGATTAATAAATTAGCGGCGGTTAGTTTTTCTTTTTTCAGTTATTTTTTCTTCTTCTCATACGTTTCTTTCTTCATCAGCACTCAAAGGTGTATATGTTTTTTTTCTTCTTCCTGTAGAAATCATGAACAGCTTAAGTCTCACCAGAAATGTCCGTCTTCTTCATTCATCACCCACCTCACATAACTTTGAGGAATCCCAGCAATGGCTTCTTCATTCACAGTTATTTCATCTTTCTGTCATACAAGTAAAAAAAAAACCAGAGATTGATATTAAAACACACAAGTATTATGCATCAATGGTTGCTTTCATGTTATTTTCATCTTCTACTCACCTTTGTGTTGCTGGCACAAGATTCAATCACACGGATTTCTGACTCTATTTTTGTACTTTCAGGGATGGTTTCGAAGGATCTAACCACTGTGGATCTGCATAAGATGAATAAGAACATGTTTGGTTGGTAATACTATTAGTCATAGATGAACTACAGAGATCTTTTTTCTTTTTTTACCTTCCGTAACTCTCATCTTCACAAGAGTTTCCTGAAGAAGAAACCCAATCCATATCAAAAGCTGAACATGTACATTGGTCACCATGGTCATCATTGCACAAGCAATCGTTTTCAAGTATCTCATCTAAACCTATTTCCTCCAACGTCGGTGGTGGAGCACTGCAAAGTCATTCCCAATACTTAGCTGACAACACAACCCAATTTACATGATTTATTTGACAGAGATTATAAGCTTCTTTTTTACCTCAAACTAGCAGCAATCATGGCAGTTTCAGACGTTGAGATCTCTGGTGCTGAATCTGAAAGACCTTTACCTTCTTCATCATTTTCAGCTAAACCATGTCTAGCAGCTGTACTTCCCTCGCTAAGTATGCTACTTTCTGATAGAGATCGTTTCATCGTAGCCCTAAAGGCAGTAAAATGAAAAGTGTAAGTAATCTTTAACTACTCTACAAATGTGTCTCATCCAACTAGGAACCATACCTTGAGTTTTCCGGTACAGAACTAGCAAGAAACCTTGCTGCATTGTAATGCTGATCAGAACCCAATTCCCACAGCGCTGGCTTATCTTGCTGTGGCTGAAAGTATCCCAAGAACCTGCAGAATAATACAGGTGAAAAAGTCAAATAGTTTTGTCATACCAAGAGGGCAGAGTGGCGCAGAAAGAGAAAGTTTAAGCCAGCCTACAAGTTAATGGCGTCTTGCTTTTCAGCATCCATGTAAGCGTTACTGTAGTAACGCTGTAAAGTTCTGAATAACTCCTGTGACTGAGTGGCTGCTTTCCATTGACCACGCCTTTCACAAAATATCTGTCCACGGTAATAAGATCATCCTCGGTTAGTATTTTTAGCCAAGGCAACAACTTAAAGACAGAGAAGCTAACAAGGAGACCTTGTTGTGTGCTGCAGATCCTCCATACTGAAGCGCAAGCGTATCTCCCATTGTCTCATATATCCCCATCAAATCTTCAGCGAGGGGATTATCTAAATCAATAGTAGTAGACTCTGTCATTCCTAAAGCATGGAGTTGACGCCCAAATGCTACCAAACCATATGCATACTGAGCAACGTTGGTGCGATCTAAACAGTCTATGCAGTTGGTCCTCAGGATTCCTTTCTGAAGCATGGTGGTTGCTTCCTTGAGTTGATCCTCCTTTGCATCTTTACTATCATTACCATTCTCCACTGCTGAATCTGATGCAGTTGCATCTTTACTAGGAAGATTATTAGTAGAACATTCACCAATGTTGTTCCTGCAATAAAAAACAAAAAGGATATAAATCAATCGAAGTCTAGTTAATGGCAGTGCTACAAAACTGTTGATAAATTTGGAGACTCACTCCATGGTGGATTGATTCTGGTTCTGAAACCCATCTGAAGTTAGCTGACAGTAGAAGATACCAGTCAAGTTCAGTGCGTAAGTAGCCAACCTGTCGAGAATCGCCAACACGTTTGTGCCCTTTCTGGAACAGAAAAAAAAACGTATTCAGTAAGTACAAACGCATATTGTGTCACTCGAAGATGCAATGAAATGAAGGAAACAAATAATCATATGAGGTTGCGTCCATTCACATACTTTCTGGAGTGTTTATTCAGATCCCAGTGAAGAGGCCTTAGACGCTCCTCCTTGCTTAATCCTTTATTTATAACTTTAATAGCATTTGCAAACTCTGCACGCAGAATAGTCTCTCTAGGCCTCTTTTCACGTGTCTGTTTTTATCAATCAAGTGAGTTAGGAATGGTCAGGACGAATGTATCAGAATCTGTAACTTCATTGACAAGTAAGAGTACCAACCTTTATCAAGTTCAGTATGATGATTGGATTCCCATATCTCTTTGCAAGATTTTCAAAATGCAGCCTCGTTGCCTCGTAGCTAGGGTCTTTCGCTGACACTTTACACATCAAGAATAAATCAGCACAAATGTCAAAGCAGGAAAAGAAACTGATAAGAAATTATTATGTTGGAGAAGAGAGATCATACATATAATATCAGGTCTGATGTTCAAGCGTGAGGTCTCCTGAGACCAGAACAAAGGAATCGAACCACGGTTCTGAACTACAGAACTTAATCGGACAGGGTTACCATCTTGAGCTTCCTCGAAAACAATCTGTTCTGTCTCAACATCATTAGCTACCCTGCCTTTCTCGTTCACACCACGTTTCAGATATCTGGAGAACAAGATAGAAAGATTAGATCCCATTACAGCTTAACCAAATGAACAACAGAGATGGAATAATATCAGGTGTAGTGGCTGTACCTTGTGCCAGCATAATGCCTAGATCGTCGCGATATTAGAGTCAATCTAAAGTTCTTCTCAGAAACTGATAGTTTAACCTAAATAGTAGAGAAAGAAACAAAACATCCCAAAGGGTAAACAGCTTTTAATTTGCATTAGAAGACAAAAGATCTGAGAAGGCATCCACAAAGAAACCTTAAAACCAATAAGTACAAGTACCTGTTTGAAGAAACCATATACAAGGGCAACTGTCCACATACAGTCCTTAGCGTTATTCCGAATCCGTCTAGTTAAGTAATCATTCCAGACGAACATTGATTCATAGTAAGTGTGTCCTTCCACATTGTTTGACAGATTGCTCTGAAGTGAATGCATGATGTGGTAGGAATAGCTAAAGAAGAAGTCCTTTGTGAGATCAACAGTGCAGAGAAGCCTCTTGTACCTAATAACATTCCCAAAAAAAGATAAAAGAAGTCAGAAAACGAAACAAGATTCAGAACAGAACCTGGATCAGTAAATAATTTGAAAAAAGAAAGGAAGGTACAGGATAAATCAAAGATCAAAATATATAAGAGAATAAACAAAACTAGAAGAAAGTTAAAAATAAGCTCTCCGTTTCTTGATTAATACCTCTGTCATATAACAAATCAAAGTACATACAACAAAACAGAAGTGTGCCCACTGTACATACCTAGAAGTAGTAAAAATAAGAAGAAAAGTGCAACAAAGATGGTCTGGGCTAAAGATATAACAAAAATGGAACAGAAAATTAATGAAACTCTAAGCTGCTGGATTAATCTCCAATTGGCAAAGGACACAGTTACCTCAACAACCTGTGACACTCTTATTGAGCAAGATCAGAGAGACAGTGGAATCTAAAATACAAGAGTAAAATTGTATAATTTCGAAATGTAATGTAATGAAGGTACCAATGTACAGGTCTTTTTTATCATTTTACAAGCAGAAGTGACATAAGAAAACCTTTTCTCGTTCTTAGAATAAGCCACATTGGATAGCACAGAAGCATGTGGGATCGTAATAATCTTGCTCTTCGCTACACCATAAACTGTGTGCCCACAGATCTCACCAAGCTTCCTTCTTTTAGTGATTATCAGCATGTAATAAGGCCCCAAGAACCTTACGAATCCTAAAAAAAAAAAAAACAAGAAACGTTAAGCTTACAAAAGAACACAAAGAAGAAACAACTTAGCTAATAAAGACATTATTTACCAATGATCCCATAGCAAGTGGTGACAAATTTCAAACCACCAGAAGATCTGTTTCCTTCGTGTATCCTTCTCAAAGTCTCGAAACATTCAGCTTCTGTGTAAGCCGTTGAATCTTCGTAGAAGTTGAGTTCTGTCGGATCTGTCCTATCTAACTTTAAAACCCTCCAACAGGTTCGGTTTTTATCTCTCCCAATCATATAAAAGTTCTGTAATTTACACACAAAAGGTTCAGAATTTAGCAAAATCATATGAATTCGTAAGAAAACCAAAAGAGAAACCAATCATTACCGAGCGAGTCTCGTAGAGCCTGAACTTTTGAAGGAAGGAAGAAGACATGTCGACTGGTGGGTTTATCGATCTCTCTGACGCAGCCATTTTGGGAGACAAGGAAGCTCGATAAAGTCGGGTCCTTTCGATATAAATTTAACAAAACAAAGACGAGGGGACAAAACCCTCCTCCCAAAATAGATCACAGAAAGACAAAAACTGAATCTGACTTCACATACACAAATCTACACACAAAAAGATCGAATCTTTGCAATTTACAAACATAAACAAGAATCACCCTTTTGGTCTACAGATCGAGATTTTGCGGAGAGGAGCAGATTTTCAGATGGGTAGATGATGAGGAGGAAGAAGATGATGACAGAGTTGCGGTGACCGGAACCACAGAAATTTTTATTAAATTTTTTAAAAGTTTTTAACTTTAGGCGGTCGTTTATATATGAGTCTCTCCTAAAATCTGTAATTTTTAGTTTTCTCAAGAATATTTGGTTTTGAAAAGGTAAGTTTGACTTGTTAAAACTAAATGGTGACTTGTAATTTGTTCCTCTTATGTTTTCAATTTAATAAAAATGTCTAATAGTACTTGCGTATATTAATTATTTATAATTATTTTTTTGTGAAAATGTTGACTACATATGAGCTGGCCGACGAAATTTTCTCCATATGAGCTTAAATCATTTAATTACACAGATAAACTTAAACTAATTTTCTACAAATATAAAACAATTCAAATCTAGATTAGTATTGTTGTAGAACGATTAATAATGTGACATGTGGAAATCAGAAGGAGAAAGCAATGTAATATATAAATAACTCTTACTCCCTCCGTTTCAAATTAATTGTCATTCTAGGGGAAAAATTTTGTTTTAAAATAAGTGTTATTTTAGATTTTCGAGACAAAATTTATTAGTTTTATATAATATTCTATTTTTCTATTGGTTGAAAAATGGTTAGGTGTATAGGTAATTGTATTTTTTTCTTAAAATATGTAAAATTAAATGTTACTTTAATCTGTGTGCAAAAACGTAGAATGACAATTAAAATGAAACGGATGGAGTATATGACAAATGATGTAAGAACATCACAAAAGAATTTAGCAAAAAAAAAACATAACAAAAAATCTTTTTTTTTGAAAGAAAAAAAAACATCACAAAAATTTTAGATCATTCCTAAATAATTTTTTTTTTAAAAAGACAGCATGCATCTGTATATCCAATTAACATATTATAAATATAAATAGAAAAAAATAGCCAGAAGATAAATTTATAAATCATTTAAAAAGGAAAACATATACTAACAAATAAAAAAAATTTCTCAACAAAAAAAAGTTGAAATATATAAATTATTTTTTCTTAGCATTTTCAATGATTAGAGCAGATGATGATTTATATGATAATTTATTTGTTTGCATTTAGTGCATGTTTTTCAAATTAACCCACAACCATAATCATTTTAGACTATATTTTACTGTTATAGTTTTACTTTGCGTTTGATATTTGCTTCTACATCGTGCTAACAATTAACAATCTAACATCATGATGTCAATGACAAACGTGATTAGCATTTCGTGAATGTCAGTTTTATAGTTTACAAAATCATGTCAAACTCGTTTTCACCTTCCATTACGGTGTGAAGATTAATCAAACGTGTACGGGTTTACAACTCCCCTTAGCCCTTGCCCTTGATTTCTGATGGACTTCTATATATTTAACGATATTTCGCGGTATTATCAAATTAGTCAATTCTATTAGTCTAGTAAATCAATTTATGTGTATTATATTATTATATACAAAATGATTTGATTTTTCTGTATGATGTAAGGTCAGTAAGGTGTCGGTGTATATAAAGACAAATTCAAAGACTTAATTAAGTGTGTTTGTAGAAAGTTCAAACACAAAGTTTACGAGCATATAATAGTAATAGTACAATGAAGGTGTTAATAATGAATGAGTAGATAAAAAAATATACTGTATACTGTATTCTGTAAATGATAACTAAATTCTACAGATATAGAGGTAGGCGAAATGAACATAATAACTCAGGAGTATCATTAGTAAGTTGGATTCGAATTTCGACATGCCCTCGGACCATTGGCCTCTCTAAAAGGTGTAGAATAGAATCATTAGAAAGTAATTAGCGAATAGAATATATGTTAAACAAAAGAAAGTATATAATATGCTTATATGCTCTCGTCAACTTGATATTTGATTTGATCATAGTTTTATTCCTTTGTACCAAAATTTTCGATATATTAATCAAAGGGTTTGCAAATGATACACGTTTCAGTTTACGAAATTATACATGGGAAATTATTCTAAATAGTCAAAATTATCTAATTGAGAAGAGGTTTGCATCAAAGGATAATTTGTACTCTTTCTGTTTCATAATATAAATAGTTTTAACAAAAAAAATTGTTAGAAAGTATAATAATTTTTAACATTTCTATGTATTTTGTATTTAATAAATAGTATATGACCAATTACATTATTTAAAGTTGTTAATAAATGATAAAACTTATTCATTAAATGATATTTTTTAAGACTTATTCTTGGGTTCACTCCCTAGGGTGAATCTCTAGGTTCACCATCCAATATGATTGCATTATTTTATATTTGATATCTTTTTAAAAAAGAAAGAAAATCTTATTAAGTTATATTATGTTTTTTAAAATAAAAATAGAAAAATAAATAAATAAATAAAAAATAAATAAAAACGAAAATAATTCTTTCTAAAGAAAATATTTTAACATTAAACCCTAAACTATAATCACAAACCCTAAATCCATGGTTAAATCATAAACTTTTAGATAAATTTTATAGTGTTTTAAAAATTTAATATTTATGATTTACCCAAGGGTTTAGGCTTTAGGATTAGAGTTTAGGGTTTAGTGTTTATGATTTACCCAAGAGTTTAGGGTTTAGGATTAGAGTTTAGGGTTTAGTGTTTATGATTTATCCAAGGATTTAGGGTTTAGAATTAGATTTTAGGTTTAGTGTTAAAATATTTTCTTAAAGAACTTTTTTTTTTTATAAAAGTTATCCAAAGGTTTATGATTTACCCAGGGGTTTAGGTTTTAAGATTAGAGTTTAGGGTTTAGTGTTAAAATATTTTCTTTAAAAAAATATCATTTTCGTTTTTATTAATTATTATTTTTTTAATTTATTTTTATATTTTTATTTTTGAAAACATAATATAACTTAATAAGATTTTGTTTCTTTTTTTGAAAGATATCAAATATGAAATAGTTAAATCCTATTGGATGGTGAACCTATAGGTTCACCCTAGGGGATGAACCCAAAAATAACTTATTTTTTAACAAATACTCTCTTTATATTTTTTTAATATCAGTGCTTTAACTAGAATTATTTACAATTTGATTCTAAGGGAGTAAAAAAAAAAAGAAGAAAATGATTTTTACATACATACTTACCGAAACAAATAAAATAACGTTAATGAGAAGCCCCGAACCGTTGGATTTGTTATATCCGACGGCTACACAAACGACGGCGTTTTAGGGGAACTGGAGACAGCTGGCGTTATGATGTGGAACAGCGTGGGCCTTTCGTCATATGACAACGAGCATCACGTGGATTGTGTCTGGACCACCGTGGCGGCCATTTTTCTACGTAATTATTATTATTCGCCAATACTATTATTATTTAAATAAATTGCAACTCACTCTAATGCTACGTGACGTGGAGACTTTTGAAGCAATTATTGGTTATATATAATAGATCCGCATGACAACCTTAAACAATCAATTTGCCATCGCTGAAAAGGTTTCGTCCTAAACATTATCACCCGTCTGTTGGGTGTTACATAATCTTTTCCATAATAACAAAATGCTAAATCTGATATCAACATAAGATTATTTTCATCAGTTAAAAAAAAAGAAGATTATTTTGTATGCTTAATTGTGATTCTTGCATTTAAACATTTCGAGAATTAAGTTTTTCGAAAAAAATTGGTAGAAAACAAAAGTTACGGATTAACAAAAAAAAATTCTTTTTAAAAAGTACAATAAAATTAGATTAAAAGTTGATTAATGAAATATTATAAATTAGATTAAAAAAACATGCGTCCCTTTTTATAACCAACTCAGTCTTTTCTTTTCTTTTGGTAAAAACTCAGTCTTTTCTTGTTCTGGATTAATTGCTTGATTTTAACCAACTAATGACCTAAGTTTCAAATACCTAAACAATGCGATTTTAGAATCTTAATGGCATGTCTTTAACTTATCCAACTTGTCCCGGGTAAAAAATATAAATGTAGATTTGTTAGCATAATACCAAAAAGTAACATATTAGTAAATAGATCATTTTTACCAACACATAAGTAAATAGAACATTGACTTAGTACAACTGCAATCATTGACTTAGTACAACTGCAATGAGAATGGCCTTGTTTTGAAATGTTTGACACTGATTTTATAGAATGGTAAAATACTTGAAGAAAAGTCAAAACTACATAAAGTAATTTAGATGTGATAATGCGGTTTACTTTCAACAGAAACATTATTTATTTTTTCTAAATTGTTTTGCGTTCGTTTTCATCCCTTGAGAAGAGCTTCAGTTTCTATCCAACATCAAATCTACTAAAAAATAGGGATGATACTACAAACACGTGATAACGTGCTATCAGTTCACGAATTATGAAAAAACTAAAATACTAGTCACAGGAAAAAAGAAGTATATTCATACTATGCAGGCTTGCCGGCCCAGTTAAGAAGGCCCATTCTATTGTAACGTCTCTTGTGTTTATTTTTTTTTTGGAGTTCAACTTCAAACCAACCAGTGTGTAAATCTACAAAGAGGATTTATAAAAATATATTTTATAGTTTTGATGTGGTAACTAGCTTAGCGGGAATGGGTTCACAAAAAATGTGCACCAATAGTTTTATAAATATTAAAATATGTAAACTTTTGTGAATAGAACCATAAGATTTTATTGGATGTGATGGTATACATTTTGTGGTGTGCACCCATAAATTTTCCTAAGGTCGTGTGCAATTTTCTTGTTTTGTAACAACAATGCACCAACAGTGATCCAATTCCAGTGGCAGCTATGTTGAGAGTAAGTAGGAGAAGGCAAGAAGCTAACGTAAATTGTTTGTTTCATTGACTCGAGAGTCTGCATTTTACGTCAAATTTGAAACCTACTAGCCTGCAAGTTCGATTCTTGTGTCAAAATGATTACCGTCGATGACGTACGTACGTATCATTACTATCCCCGGGTGGCACATACGTGGTTAGCTGCATGCACAAGCAGTTTTAAAAAAAAAAACTAAGGGGAGGAGTTGGACTTTGAGCCCTCTCAACTTAGATCTAGAACTAGCATTTACTAATATCAATAACACTGGTAGGCGTAAATACAACAACATCAACACATGCATTTAAACACTAGCCTACAAAGTCCGGTGGGCACAACTAATCTTGTTAGTATATGTAATTCCACCGAAGTAGCTCATATCTGAGG